ACTACTGGTTTAAAGTAATACAATATATCAAAGCTACAAGTCACTTATATTATTCACTACACTAAAAATTATTTTTGTCAATTAGAAGGGTAATATTACAGTAAACTGAAATAAAATAATTAAATTATATTTTCAGTGTACATTAATGACACTTTTAAAAACCACTCAAATAACTTTAAGTATTGTAGATTTTTTTTCAATTGAAGAGTAAAATCTAATTTAAAAATGTCTTAAAATATTGAAATATTGGAATATAATATCTATTAGATTTTAGAACAACTAGAGTTGATTGTTCTTGTCATTAGAAAATACTTTTACAGATGAAAAGTTTAAATTCTTATTTTATTCTACATAATTGCAATGCTAAAAGATAGGCTTCAAAGTATGCAATGGAATGGTCCATTTTTAAAAAATTCTTAAATATCTTAAAAAATATACAATTTTGTTACCTCCATTCAAAATAAAAAGATAAAGTAGTCTAACTTAGACATAGATATATTTATGTCACAGAGTATAAGTAATGGACTTTTAGAGATACAGAGCATTTGTAAAATGACACACTGTTAATTTATAAAGTATTTTTAAAATATGATTTTGTACAATTATGACATTCTTACCTGTTGTGACAGTGACCAATGTCCCTTTTCCCCAGTAGTCAAAAGCCCAGTTGCACAATGACAACTCTCTTTAGTCCACCGTTAAAAAAAGACACTAAACTTGTCCTGTTTGAGACTAATAAATCTTATCTTATGGCCATTTTTTAATTTGGCTAAAATTATGAATTCCCTCATTTACTATGAGTTATTTGAAATTTTACCCAAGACATATGGGAATTTAATAATTCTACATTTCTCTAACCAAACATATAGAAATCTACTTTTTTTCTTAGAAAAACATAGATTGAATCAGTTTGGGTGTTAAACAGCATTTTAGAATATAAATATTTTACATATAAACAGGCATATGGGTTAATTTTACAATTTACATAAACAGAAAACTAAGGAAAAAAAGAATGATTGTGTTACCTGATGAGACGGTGACCTGGGTTCCTTGGCCCCAGTACTCAAAGTAGTCACAATGACTTAGACTGTCCCACTAGACTGACAAATACCCATGCACAGACTATTAATTATTTCCTTAATTTACGCAAGACTTTAAAAACAGACACATTTAAAGTTAAAATAATCATAAACAGCATAAAATATCAATGTACCTGTAGTGACTGTGACTAGGGTTCCTTGGCCCCAGTAGTCAAAGTAGTCACAGTGACTTAGACTGTCCCACTAGACTGACAAATACCCATGCACAGACTTTTAATTATTTCCTTAATTTCTGCAAGACTTTAAAAACAGACACATTTAAAGTTAAAATAATCATAAACAGCATAAAATATCAATGTACCTGTAGTGACTGTGACTAGGGTTCCTTGGCCCCAGTAGTCAAAGTAGTCACAGTGACTTAGACTGTCCCACTAGACTGACAAATACCCATGCACAGACTTTTAATTATTTCCTTAATTTCTGCAAGACTTTAAAAACAGACACATTTAAAGTTAAAATAATCATAAACAGCATAAAATATCAATGTACCTGTAGTGACTGTGACTAGGGTTCCTTGGCCCCAGTAGTCAAAGTAGCCATAGTCACATTGGAATAAGAACTATACTTCTTTAAACAAAAACTCAATGGTCTGTGCCATGAGCAAAACCAGTACTATTACCCTTTGGTGATTATCCTTTTTGGGTTAGATAGAAAATGTCACTTCCATGACTACTTAAAAAGAAAAAAAACTTATAGTAAAACTTCTTCTAGCAACAGGGAAGAAAAATAAAGATATTTTACCTGTCGTCACTGTCACCATGGTTCCTTGTCCCCAGTAGGCGAAAGCATTGTACACATTGTCACATTATACCAGAGCTCTGTCTCATATGTCATTCTGGTGGTGGATGCACGATTATAATCAGTATAGTTCTAAATGTTCTGTCATTGTCACTAGAGATCACTCCTATTCCGTCAAGGCAAAATAAAGGGAAGTTGCAGGATACTGAGTTTTTAACTTGCTTTACAGCTGCATGAGGTTAACCCATGACTAACCTACGCATAATATAGTGTAGGAGTACAATAGATATTTGAAATGCAAAGGCCCAGACCTTTGCATCCTGCAGATCGTTGTTTATTCTATTAATATACTATCTACAGTATATTGAATACAGTTAAAATATGGCATTGTAAATAGAAAAAAAGAATGATTACCATTGCAGCAAAGAACATGTTATGTTGCATGTTCCTGTTATTATTATTATTATTATGATATTTTTAGAGTGCCGTCAAATTACGCAGCGCTTTACAATGGGTGGACGAACAGACATGTAGTTGTAACCAGACAAGTTGGACACACAGGAACTGTTGTGTGACAAATCTACTTTGTCTTGATATGATGCAAATATGTCTTCCAAATACAACTGAATATCAGCAGTATTGGTACAGAAGCAGGTATGAAGGCAATTTTCCTTCACACATTTGTTTTCTCATTATCTGCAGCTAAGAATTCCAATTTATATATATTTTCCCATGGCAGATTTACAGTAGAAAACAATAGGCAAGAACAGAATATTCTTGACAAACATTGCAGTTTTGAGAATCACATTTGGTCCTCCTGCAAAATAAATGAAGCATACGTTGCTAAATTAAAGAGAAAAGGAATAGGGGTTAGTCTGCTGTGAGACTAACAAAAAAATAGGATCTCAATTTTAGATGAAGAGCTTACAGAATACTTTTATACTCTCCCCACAAGTTCCAAGTTTTATAATAGGGGGCCAGATTATCCAAGACTATGGCTCTGGACCTGTCTGTAGGTTGGTCCAATTAAATCTTGTACAGAGGTTACAATATCTTTAAATCAGCTACCAGTAAGCAGGACTCACTGGTAGCTGATCTTCCATCACTATATCAGGCAGAACTCTAAATACTTAGGTAATTAATATGCCAAGACTCCTGACTTCACTCAGGCTGTTTTGAGTTGAGGACAATGGGGATTACTTGCCAAGTGAAGCCTCATAAAAAGCACACTATCATAGAAAAGTTAAACTCAACTGCAATTACCTATTAAAGGTGACATATCTAAAGTGCGTAATCACAAAATAATTGCCAAGCAAAATCTTCTAAATATAAAAATATGGAAGTAATGTTATTGGTACGCATTATCCAAACACCAACACATAATACATCAATGTCAACATATATATTGTATAGGGAGGATAATTTCAGATGTTTTGGAGCTATTCAAAATTCAGACGTCTTCATTTAGAAATATCATAGTGAATAATTTTAACATTCCATAGAGTCAAATTAATTGAATTTATAACTGGAAACAACTTCATCTAACTACCGACCAATTATCTGCCTCTCCACAACATGGAAGGTCCTGTCAGGCATTAGAGCACCCAAGATCGAGGGGCATATGAGCAATACTCAGAAGGGAATTGGAAACACCAGAGGATCAAAAAACCAATTACTGATAGACTAAGCAGTTGCACAGACTTTTAAGACCAGACTGACCTATCTGTGCACACCTGGATTGACTACAAGAAAGCCTGTTACACACTGCCACACACATGGATACTTGAATGCTTGGCTCTATACAAGGTCAAGACAATGAGAGCCTTCATCAAGAATTTAATGGGCAAGTGGAAAACAACTCTAGAAGCCAATCCAGGACATAACTCACATGAACATCAAATGTGGCATATACCAAGGTAAAGCATTATCCCCAATGCTGTTCTGCATAGGCCTCAACCCCCTTAGCCAGATCATCAAGAAGAGTGGATACCAATACAGGTTCAAGAGTGGAGCTACCATCAGCCATCTACTACATGGATTACATTAAGCTGTATGCCATAAATGAGCAGGGCATTGACTCACTGAGCCACCTAACTAGGATATACAGCAAGGACATCGGAATGTCATTCGGACTAGATAAGTGTGGAAGTATTATAGCAAGAAGAGGAAAGATGATCAGGAAAGAAGGAGTTCAAGTACCAGAAGGCCAAATAGGTGATCTAGAGATGGGTACCTGGGCGTACCACAATCACATAGCAACCACGAGAAAGAAGGAAGGAGGATAGCAATATCCAAGTACCTCCAGAGAGTCAGACAGGTCCTGAAGTCCAAGCTCAATGGCTATAACAAGCTATCAGTACAATCACCTACCAATCATCAGCTACCCACCTGGAATAATAACCTGGTCAAGAGAAGAAGTGGTCACCATGGATGTCAAGACCCAGAAACTACTCACTGTGTCAGAACCGCGGCCTATTCGTGCCTTTTCCCCTTTTGTTTTGTGTTTTCACAGACTTTCGTGCCTTATACTGTTTCCCCATTCAGGAGCGTTCATACGAACAAAACCTCTTCGCCTCCTGAACGGGGACAACCCCGGTACCCCATTATAAACGTTCACACTAATTAATCAGAATGTTCGCACTTGCAACATAAGTGTGAAACCGCAACGTTCGCACTTGCAACATAGTGTGAAACGGCAAAATAAATAATTAATGAGTGCTCCCCTGGTTGGCCGCTATTTCATAGAGACAAATGCCAGCCGGTGGAGCATTCATATCCTGAATGGAGACGCTTTCCTTGCCGGTTTCAACACAGGAGCCTAGCGAATGGAGACTGATCGGGGAAATGTGCCGTTGTGAGGACGCCTGAGGTTGGTGGGGACACTTTTGGGGCACCATCTAATTTGATGGGTTTTTCTGTGCCTGGGAGACAAAGGGACGATTTCTTTCCTGCGCTTTTGCACCCAGGCACAGAGGCTCCTGGGATGAAGAACCCCCAGTCGACCTGGGTGGGAGACCCCTCGCCTGAGTGGCGGGCTTCCTAAACCTTGGAGACAAAGGGACAATGACCACCTCTTTCCCACGCTTTGGCTCCCAGGTGTAGAGGATCTTGGGATAAGACCCCTGTGTGTTTGTCAAGTGTACCCCTTACATGGGGCTATGCATAAAAGCCGAGTGTGGCATTATAAAATTGTGTTGTACCTCCAGAACTGAATGTCGTCCAATTACTGGGGGGGGAAATGGGTCTCTTTATACTCTAAATGGTTCCTGAGCGGCTGAAGGAAGCAAATTAGCAGAGGTAACCAGTCAGGCTACCCACTATCCTCTACAACTGGTGGCAAGCGGTGGGATGTTACTTCCCAGCCGAACGGAACAATCAGTTCGTTAATGGAACAAGCATGGCACCCAACTGCAGTAAGGATCGACACCCCAAATGACATCCATCATCCTCATCCAACCGGGAAAATGGCAGGAACACAGGTGAAGGAATGGCCGGGGGGGGCCACACTTGTTTGGGTGGGTTTTTTTCTGGGGTCAGAGGCCCCTGTGTACCTGGCTAGAGACACTTTTTGTCTAAGTCACCCTGTACCTAGGGTGCAGGGTGCAAAGCCAGCCAGACCAGGGGCTGGCTGAGGACAGTTGCTGTTGCAGGCATGGCACTCACAGACTGTTTCCGCTCCAGACAGAAGAGAGCTGATCCATGTGGATCATACTGCAGCTGTCGCAGGTGGACAAGGGGGAGATGTGTGACGGAACGCCATCACTGAGTGCCATATCCCCATGTGCCCACTGTCTATTTCTGTGGGGGGAGAAATATATATATATATATTTGTGTTCGGGGCCATTTCAGTATAGTAGGAAATAGCTAGCGAGTATACTTATCACAACAATGAAAAGCCGGTAGAGGTGTGCCGAAACCGACATGTGTGGTAGGCCTGTAAATACGTGGGCCTACCTTTAATAGTATTGAATAGAGTATTGAATAGACGGAGAGGAGGGTGGGCCAGAAGTACATCAGGACCAGTAGGTAAGTTAGGTAGGAGGGGGAGTCCCTTTTAAAGGGACAAAGCCCCTCCCACAACTTCAGGCCCCGCCTTCCAATTTGTGTTCAGGGCCATTTCAGTATAGTATGAAATAGCTAGCAAGTATACTTATCACAACAATAAAAAGTCGGTAGAGGTGTGCCGGAACCGACATGTGTGGTAGGCCTGTAAATAAGTGGGCAAAAGGAATACCCATATAGTGTAATCAAAGATGTTTATTACGAAAACACAAGACATGGATTTAGCGTATTACGGTGACCTTTCACAATTGCATTCCTTAATTCCTGTGTCGGCTGAGTTATACGTTGGTGGTGGGGTAGTACTGAATAAGTAACTCGTGACCACTCTGGCTGGTCTTTAGTTGATGGTAAGTTAATAAGTAGTGATCCTGTATTAGTACAGGTTAGAATACCGTAGGCAAAGCTTAGAATTGTGTTGCCCTATGATGGTAAATTCTATGGTCGTGGGAAACCATAAAAGCCAAGTATATGGCGGTTTTGAGAATGGTGTGTGTACCTGAGAACATGTGGTGTTTTATGCCCGGGAGATATAACTTAATAGTGTTATGTGACAATATTTGATGTGGCAAAAAGTGGCGAAAGCCTCCAACGTTGTATTCTTGAACCAGTTTGAAAGGTGGTGATGTGACCCGAGCTTCGATATATGCAGTAAGCTCTGTCATAACAGTGTGCGTATTCTTTGAGGGCCAACTGTGTGAATTCCTGCTGTGACTTAGCAACTCTTCTATTCCATAGGTATTCTGAGAGCTGGGGAGTAGAGTTGAGCGGACACCTGGATGTTCGGGTCTGGCGGGTTCGGCCGAACTTTGAAAAAACCCGAATCCGCACCCCATTGAAGTCAATGGGGACCCGAACTTTTGGGCACAAAAATTGCTCTAAAAAACTCATGGAAAGGGCTAGAGGGCTGCAAAAGGAAGTAAAATGGGGGTAAGAGTAGGACAAGTACCCTGCAAACAAATG